TTAGTAAGGTTTGTCATGTAAACAGAATGTGCCAATTCGATACTCGTGTAGTGGTTTCACGGGAAGCACACACTTCACAGGGAGGCAACATGTTTATTTCTCGACTTACATAAATCACAACGGGTTAAACTAGACCCTAACGGGGTTAAACTAGACCCTAAAGGGGTTAAACTAGACTCTAATGGGGTTAAACTAGACTAATGGGGTTAAACTAGACCCTAATGGGGTTAAACTAGACCCTAAAGGGGTTAAACTAGACTCTAATGGGGTTAAACTAGACTCTAATGGGGTTAAACTAGACTCTAATGGGGTTAAACTAGACTCTAATGGGGTTAAACTAGACTCTAATGGGGTTAAACTAGACCCTAATGGGGTAACTAGACTACAACGGGGTACGAGACCACAACGAGGTCACTACATAACGGGGTGAGTCAGTTCTCATACTGCCTGACCCACGATGCTGAACGTGAGGAGCGAAGACCCAAGACTGAAGAGCGGCGAAGTGTAGCGAAGTGTAGCACGGCGGGTCCCATTCCTGTAGACGGCCACCCTCGGCCCTCAGGGCCCCTTCTCATCCTCTGCTGAGCGTGGCCTCCCCTGCCCTTGGCCCTGCCTCCTTCTCGATCTTCCTAGAAGGTAATCGAACCACGCCACCTGTCCCTCTTGGGTTCAACCACCTGCCACATCCTCCCTACCCCCCTTCTAACGTCCACCGGGACTAAGCCCGCGAGGGCTCCCTTTCCATGCCGTAACATACCCTGGTGCCAGCGAGAAGCTTTAACACTCGCAGCTCCACTTTCTTATCAGTCGCTAGCGCTAAACGCCATAGTGACTCCATTAACGTCGCTCACTAGTGCAGCACACGTGTCAATAAAAACATATTATAAACCAGTACGTAGTAAATATAAGCATGCGGGATAAATATAATCAGTAGCCATCTGCTTCAAATGGGTAGGGGTTGCCAAGCGTGCAGGCACACAGTGAGGTGCAGCGGGGCGTTGTGTTGCAGCCGTGGGCGCCAGCGTCCGCGTCCGTGTCGCTGTCCCTGCGGAGCGGCGACGCAACGGAGGCTGTCGCTGTGCTGCTGAGGGCCACGCCGCTGCCTGCAGCAGAGGGGCCCGGCGCCTGACGTCAGTGAGAGATGTGACCCAGCGAGTCGGGGCGAGGACGCCGCTGCGTTGCCACTTGTTTTAACGCTGTTCTCTGTACCGCAGGACGCGTGGAAAGGTTGTGTGTAAAAAAAAAAAAAATTCGGAAATGTAAAAAGGCTACAAAGGTAAAGGTGCAGCCATGAAATTTCTGGCACAAGGCCCTCAACTGGAGGAGCTCACGAGAGGGCTCAGCAGAGGCCCCTCCTGAGGGTATTTGGCCCAGGCAACTTGGAAGTGCGAGTCCCCACACTTTATCTGAATATGTATCATAATTAAATATCCACTAATTAACTGCATTTAGATTTTGTAACCTATTTGTCTTGCAAAGCAAATCATAGCAACCAAAAGTAAACTCTTAAACAGGCATAATACTTAATTTTTTTCTGAAAATGCACTACTGTAATATATGCAAAGACTGCCTTGAATAAGCGTTGAAACTAAAACATTTACAGCAGGGCAATGCTCAGCAACGCCAATGAAAATAAAGTACGAATGCAAAAAGTGTGTTGCCTCTTTACACGCCTGTATATTCAGTTCAGCCTTTCCAGTGCATTTACCATTACATTTTCGTGCACCACCAAAGTGAGGTCGTTGAGACTCTGTTGTGTATTGTCTCCGTTATATTTGGCGCTTCAGGGTGGCGTGCAATGTTATAGCCGACGCCTGCAGACGGAAAAATGGGGAATTCGTCTCTCTCCTTTCAATGCCACCTGTACGGATGAGGACTCGGTCTCAGCTCTGTCGCGTTTAGTTTAGCTCATCTGGTTGGCTCTCAAGGGCTACGAATGCAAACCTCACAGTCTCATAGAGCCCACAGAGATGTGTATCCAGTACCCATTGCTGTGTCGCACAGTAGCACGTAGAGCGATACGGCACCCCGTGCTGGTTGTGCGTCTGAGAGAGATGGAATAAATACATTAATAGCTTGAAACCAAAACGTGTCCTCGTCTATGATTACGAGCTGATCTTGCCCAATCTCAGAAGCTAAGCATGCTCGAGCCTGGTTAGTACTTGGATGGGAGACTGCCTGGGGTGTTGAAGGCTTTTTCTGTCTGCAGGGGGCGGACTTCACTCACGACACCAGTGTCTGCAACAAACCCCTTCTTTCATTTTGATCTAAACATCCAAACTTGGGGATTTTATTATAAATAAAATGAGTGCATTGGCAGTGAGGCAAAATAACACTCCCCACGATCACCGTTAACTGCACGTTAAAAACAGGTGGCACAAGTGATGATAGGTAATTGGCAACATCTGGGGTTGATAACAAACAAGCGTGTGCGGCAGGAGGTGCGGTGCCTCCAGCTGTCCTGGCTGGGAGGTGCTGATCAATGTCCCAGTTAAGAGATGGATGTGGGCAAGTCGAACTGTGCTCTGGTGTTTGGGACGATGGATGGGATGGTTTATTTTCCCTTCCCCCAGTCGTCCGTGCTCTCGCATCTCTCTTCCCCTGTTTGGCTCTAGACCTTCAATGCTACATATGACTGTCTCTTTTCAAATAAAATACACAACACAATACTGTTTGTGTAAACTATATGCCTATTTTTACTTATTCTTAGTTTTTTTCGGTAAAGTCACGTACCTACGTGACTTTACCGAAAAAACCTAAGAATATGAATCATTGCAGTCACGAAAGCTTCAAATCTATAACTATTTTTACTTCTTAAGATGCAGTCGCGTGTAGACGCTATAACTATTTATATGAACAGTCCATCATCTCTCGGGTCGATTAAACGAGTACCACTTCGTGGGGAAGCCAACAGTTGCTGCCCTATGGATAGACTCGCCCAGCCATAGGAATGTGGAAAATCCGCCACCAGCTCTGCAGGGTTGTAAACAGCAGATGAGCACCAATGCAGCAGGACATCACTGTGACCTTTGATTTGATTTCTTTACCAAAACTCTGGCCATCATGGGGCTCACAATAAGGCAGATTCCAAATCGTAAAAACTCAATGCAATACATTATTGTTTTTGGTGATTATTGAGTCAAACAATCCCAATTTCCACTATACTCTGGTGCAGGAGTCAAGGGCGTGCCACGTTTTAGGCGTGGCAATTTTCAGATGTCAAGAGCCCTGCTGACTCAAAGAGCACTGTCAGCAGCAACACGCTCAAACCTGCTGGGGGTGTCGTCCACGTGTGTGGCCTTATTTGCATTATTCAAATGCAAAAATTGGGCATATGTTACATTATATTTGTTTTAACACTGATTAAAACATTTTAATTGGTGAAGTCATAATTTTACTCTATGATTAACATTTACTTTTCTTCCTCATTCTCAGATGAAATTTCTAAATGGAAAGAAAATATACTGAATTGAAACAAAACATCATTGATGAATGTTCAAAGATTACACCTGTAATCTTCATAAAGAGCCCTAAATTCATTAAAATAATGTATCAATGCATGCATTATTAATGTTAATGCAGAGCGATATCCGAACCGGTCTTTGCACCAGCACGGTGAAGTATGGTTAAAAAAAAACCTTCCATGACCTACACGGCATGGGGAGACCTTCATCCAGAAGATTGACAAATTACAATAAATAATCATTGTCATCCGGCTTGCAAGCACGTTAAAATTCATGAACTTCACCTAACAGCACCTGGCGCAACAACTAGAACATTAATTGCCGCGAGGCATGGAGGCCCTGGGAAATTAATAATCTGCACCCACAAGCGTTATATTTTGTCTGGCAATCACATTTGGCAGAAAATATCAACATAGGCGATTACATCAATGTAATTTCTGCCTCAACTGAACAATTCAAGTCAATGGAAGATCTTGTGGAGGGTTAAAAAAACACGGTTAAATCACAAGTTAATCATCTCGACTCACAACGCGCCACGTGGTATTCGCTTCCTTCTCAAAAGGGGAAAGAACGACTCGGGGAATCGAGGAGGAACCACAGACCAGTGGCAAAGGCGATGAGCCAGTGCTACACTGTACCAACAATTGCCCTGGCTCTGTAGTCCTCTTATATATTAATATGAGTGTTAATACACGTGGGAGGAAAACCCGGAGCACGTGGAGAAAACCCGAGGAGGGCAGCGCTATCTCGTCACTCTATCCAATACAAACTGAACAGGTTGGGTTCACACTTGCTGTACCGAATTCTCCTGGCGAGCCAGGGTACGTCAACCTCCTCGACGTCCACGGGAAGAGTTTCACAACATGTGTGTAGTGATCCACCAACTCTCGCTGCTACCACAACGGTGTTGGATTACAGGGCACCTGCAGCATCGTCACCACCACCCGGCAAGGGCCGGTCCCGATATCACTTACCACCGATGTTGGGCCATGTCCAGGAAAGAATAAGCACTGCGCCACTGCTCTAACCTGACGATTGTGTCCCGTGGGAGTGAAGCCACCGCACTCCGTGATTGTTAAGCGGAGCTCTGCCTGCACTGGCAGGACCACGTGTGGAGCACGTGGACCTCGCTCTGCTCTGGAGCGTGAACTTTCCAAGCTCTCAAAGCAGCTGATTGGTGTCGTGACATGGCAGTGGTTTTTCTTTTACTGGGATTCACCCCAAATCGGACTCATTCAAGAAACAGACACTCACTGGGCTCTGGGCTCGTGCTCATGAGCGAAATTACCTCCTGGGAATCGACACGAGGAGGAGGGCAGCCTTATTTACATCTTGTCGCTGGGGCGACCATAAAACCATCAGCACACATCACTATTCCGTCAGCGGTTTTGCGCGTCTGTCCATAATAATGACCAGTTTGCTACATGCACACGCACGCACACACTTGTGTGAGCACGTGCGTGCGAGCGTGTGTGTGTGCGAGCGTGTGTATATATAACGCAGTGTGTCAAGTGTAGAGAGTTGAGGACGGGCACCTTGACGCAGCAGAGTTGTGCAGTGGCGATGTCGCTGTGGCTGCTGCTCGTGTGGGTGGCTGGGGTGGTGGTGAACACGCGTCTGGGATCTGCTAGCCCCTTCAGAGAGGTACGCGGGTACACAAGCACACGGGTGTACACGGGTACAACAGGTACAATGGTACATCAGGTGGACAGGTACAACAGGTACCCATGCACGTGATGCACCTGGTTAGCGCGCTGTGCTAAGAACCCAGTAACCCGAATTCGATTCCCGCTCACAGCCAACACCAGTGATAATCACCTGAACTGGTCTTGGGCCTCCCCTATGTCGACTCAGCCTCAAATTAGAACTCTGTGCGTTGTAAACATCGCCACTGGGGAGATAAAGGCGGTTGGGCGTGGTGCTGGTTACCTTTGTATATCGTGCCGGCTTTGAGACGTGCTTGCTAACAGCACTTGCCCCAAAAGTTGTTTAAGGTTATAGGGGGGAGGGGGGATCTTTGTCTTGTGTGTGTGTGCCTTAACAGGAGAATGAGGTCGAGCTGCGAGAAGGTGGTCAATTGTCCCACGTGCTGTCGAAACGACACAGAAGTAAGCCACTCCTGGAGGTCGGGCGTCTTCCTAAACCATTTATGCCGGTTGGGATATTTCCTGTACGGGTCTCAAGTTTAATCATCAGCATTATCCTCACGTGCACGCTGACGCTGCCTTTGTGGTTCATGACTCAAGTACTCATTCTAACTGCTCCCAATGGACTAAAATTGATGCCGTTTCACCCATATCGTTTTTCATCGAACCGCTTCTGCATACCACACGTGACCACTGCCTGCTTAATCAGATTCCCTTTCTCTCCACAACACCCCTTCGCTGTGGCCCGTGTGGATTCCGTTTCTTGTTTTAGTTTTTGCCTCCCAAGCCCTGCTGAGTTCTCGTGAGTGAATGCATTCGTGGCTGTACATTCACTCACTGGCTCGTGCGTTACACATCGCCTACCATCCCCGTCCTGGAAATGAAAACCTCATGACCAACATAGGACGTTAACATGTAGGCTTTTGCGACAAATATCCTTAATAGAGGTTTTTTGGGTTAAATCGCGTAAATATAAATGTGTCGTTAAACCCGCCACCACCCGACACAGCCAATTACTAACGTTTTTACGGCAGTGTCGGCACATTTATATGTATGTAGTGCTCGACTCGACACGACAACTTCTTGCTTTCCTCTCTCACTTTATTTCGCTAATACCGATCAACGATCCTCCAGCCAACACCAATCAACATCCCTCCAGCGCTCTCTCCTCCGTCGACTCTCCTCTCCACTCTCTCCGTCACAGTTCAGCCGCTCTTTATCGGCTCCCCCGTCACACTCAGCCGTATCTCTTTCGGCTTCTCCGCCACACTCCAGCCGCTTTCTGCTGGCTTCCCCATTGCTACCTTATACCTCTCCACTGCTACCCTATACTTCTCCACTGCTACCCTATACTTCTCCACAGCTTCTGGCTTCGCTGCTTCAGCTCCAACATCCTTCTTCTCTTCCCAGGCGCGAACTCTCATCTCCTTCAAAACCCCCTCTCTTTATCCCCAAGCCAATTAATCTCCAATATACCCGCTTGCACCTGCCCCGTTTTCCAGACAACACGGCGCTACTTAGTGACAACATCAACTTCCCGGCCAATCAGTGCCCTGCGTCCTTAATCGCCCCTTACCACCTGTTACTGTCCTCAGATAGCGTGGAACCACATTTGGACAATAACAACTCCCAGCCAATCAGCGTCCTGTATCCTTAATTGCCCCCTACCCGTCTCTGGCCTTCTCCTCACGCCTAACGACAATAACAGCCTCGACCTTGTTTGCTCCCACTGTACTCTGCGCGCGCGTACACCCACTCCCACGTATGGCGCGTATTTCAGGCACTACATTTACAACACATTTATATCTACGCGATCTAACCCAAAAAAAACTATATTATGAACATAGGACTTGTTTGAAAATAACCCATGCTGGCTTCTTGGCCACACGATTAACCTGATAATACGCTCACACAATGTGGCCACTCAATTTTGGTCACCCTCAAGAAAGCGGTACTCTCTGGGCAATCGTCTATCGTGTGCTATCAAAGCTCTTGCCATCTTTCAAGGTCAGTGTGCCATATCTCTTCGGTTTCCTTAACCCTGTCGCCACAAAGAGGCACCGTGCTCCTGAGATCATGTCCTAAGATCTGTTGATCATCCCGAAAGCCAGTCAGTTATATTGTGAGTGTAAGGTAGTGTTCAGGGCGAATGTGGCATTAGCTGGGTGGACATTGTGATTAGAGCACTCAACTTCAGGTTGAAAGTTTAAGTTCTAGTAGAGGGTTAACTCGGCCCATCATCAAGTTGTATTTTGGATATACTGTCCCCCAGCATGGGAATTTTCACCACTGGGTCGGTACAACCACCAGATGTGAGATCCGCCCCACGCTTCGAGCCGCGTTCCTTTCCCGGTAACCTTCCCCCTTGCTGGTGATGGTGACGTGACCAGCTCTTCCCGCCAGGCATCACAACAAGAGGGCCCAACCACTGACTTGCGAGCATGGCCGTTCGACTTCGTCCATGGGCAGCGGCTGCGGCGCTGCTATGCGTGCGTCTCCGCTGACCCCGTCGTGCCCCGGTTCCCGCAGGCGGGGACACGGGCGGGGCACCGTGCGTGTTCCCCTACATTTACGGCGGACGCAACTACGACTCGTGCACGTTGGACGGGCGCAGCGATAACCGCTGGTGGTGCGCCACCACTGCCAACTACAACACCGACGGCTCCTACGGCTACTGCTCCTTCCACGGTAATTGGCGTGCCAGGCGGGGTTTGTTCCAACCGGGTCTTATCCGGGCAGGAAACAAATATATTTCTGGACCCACCACCACACCACATCCAGTGTACATCTCGCTGTTAACTGTGGCGACTAATCACGTGCCACCCTAACTGCGGTCTACAAGTGACCCGGGCAATGTTGGGCAACGACGTGACCAATTCTCCTCCAGCATGGCTGCGTACACCGTGGCGGTGTTTATGTTTTAGCAAACGTGCCGGGAGCATAGGCCTGATGGCCTACACAAGTAGCCGGCTTGTTAAGTTAATTTTAATACAGGTAGGAACAATGTTCCACACTGCCCACCAGGGATTATTTGTTTGTCTGTCTGTCTGTCGTGCATAAATAAATATATAATATTAACAGCTCTTTGATTGGTGGAGACCTACTGCCGGGTACGGAGAGGGGAGGTGCCTCAGGGAGGAGGGTCAGGGGAGGGGCCTGAGGGGGGGGGGGTCAGAGGAGGGGCCTAAGGGAGGGGGGGGGGGTCAGGGGAGGGGCCTAAGGATATGGGGGGGTGGTCAGGGGAGGGGCCTAAGGATATGGGGGGGGGGTCAGGGGAGGGGCCTAAGGATATGGTGGGTGGTCAGGGGAGGAGCCTAAGGGAGAGGGGTCAGCGGAGGGGCCTGAGGGAGGGGGGGTCAGGGGAGGGGCCTAAGGGAGGGGGGGTAAGGGGAGGGGCCTAAGCAAGGGGGAGGGGCCGATAGTTAAGGGGGCTGGCTCCCTGGCTGGCTGCCTGGCTACCTCAAGTCAAGTTATATTTTATACAGGTAGGAACAACAGGTTCCACACTGCCCACCAGGGATTATGTGTCTGTCGTGCATATTTGTCTGTCGTGCACGAATGCGCTGTCCAACCAAGTTCCTACCTGCCCACTCCGAAGGAACGTGTTTTGATTTGGATTTAAGTTTGCTTAACACCATTAGTTATATTTTAGAAGTGACACCACGTGATGGTCTTAAAGAGACGGCCTCTGTGTAACCCGAACCTCACTGATCTAACCAATCTCGCCGACCTTGGGAAACCTGACGATTCTCATCCCTCTCCCGTGCCTCGGGTTTGAGGGAGATGCTGACAGTCATCGGCCGATACACGGTGCGGGGGGGGGGGAAGACAGCGCTTGTCACTTTGGAGCCAGGGCCACTCGCCTGTTTGCATCTCCAACTGCGCAATGCAATGATACCCCCAAGTCTCGGACACCTGCTGCTGTGATGGCACAAAGCCATCATGTGCTGAAGTCAGTTGCCAGCGGCTCGCATTTGGAGTCCCTTCACTCAAACTCCGTTGTTGGTGACCAGTGAATCCATTGCATTCATTGGTTAATATTCGATCATTCAACAGCTCTGCCAACAACCCTGGGGAACGACGGAGGAACGGCGTGCGTGTTCCCGTTCATCTACAATGGAAAAACGTACAAAACGTGCACGCTGGACGGGCGAACTGATGGGCGCTGGTGGTGCGCCCACACCGGCAACTACGACACCGACAGAAAATACGGCTTCTGCACAACAGCTGGTAACGCACGCCGGGGCGGCGCCCACTCACACTTCGCCTCCGGGGCGGCACCCACTCACACTTTGCCTCCCCTGGGGTTGATGCAGGCATCGTTGGCTTGAGCAGTTCGGAATCACGGGCAACGGGGCCGACCCCGCTGTGCGTCTTCCCCTTCGTGTACGCGAAGCTGAGCTACAATGGGTGCACACAGGCCGGCCGCGACGACGGCCGCTGGTGGTGCTCCACCACCGCCAACTACGACGACGACCGGAGATGGGCCTACTGCTCCAACAAAGGTAATCACGCGGTGCTCGCAAGCGCAGACCTCTCCTCCAGCCGTGGTAGAGCGGTCCCTTCCTGCTGCAGCGATGTCGCAAACGGAGCGTGGTTTACAGGGGAGTGGTGGCGCAGTGTTTTGCATGCTCTTCTACGAACCCGGCTTCCGGAGTTCGATTCCCGCTCACGGCCAACACCAGTGACGATTATCTGAACCGGTCCTGGAGCTACCCTGGGTTGACTCAGCAAGAGTACCTGATGCGGTGTTTAAACATCGGCCGAGCATGGTGCCGGCCACCCACCCCTTTGCACCTACGAAGGCCATGCCGGCCTTCGTAGCTGCTCGCTAACAGCACTTGCCCCAAAAGTATTTTTTGTAATTTAAAACCGATTCTAGTTTACTCAAATCCATGTAACCAATTCAAATAGAATCTTAACACCTGGCCGCGCCTACTGCTGCACGTCCCCGGCGCGTTTGTCTCCCCCAGCCATGATGACGTCGGGCGGCAACGGGGGCAGCGCCAACTGCATGTTCCCATTCCTCTACGGCGACAAGCCGGTGTACGAGTGCACGCTGATGGGGCGCACCGACGCGCATCTCTGGTGCGCCACGACGGCAAACTACAACACCGACAAGAAATACGGATTCTGCGGCCGCGCGGGTAACACGGCGGACGCGGCAGATGCGCGGGAGTAGCACGGTAACCGTAGGGACGCGGTAAACCGAAGCGATGACTGTAGTACCGCACTAACTGTAGTAATGCAGTTACCATAGTAATGCAGTCATGATAGTAACAAAGGAACCAAATTAAAACACAGTAACTATAGTTATGCAGCAACCAGTGACGCAGTAACCATAGTAACTCATTAGCTAGATTAACACAATAACCACATTATCTTAATGCAATAACCATGGTAACACAATACCATAGTGACACAACTACCAATGTATTTCATAAAACACAGCTCCACACAAACTGCGTCTCTTCTGCCATCTGGATGCTCGCAGGGCACCCCGCTATTAGTAACAGAATCTCTATTTGTCCTGGATAAATCCTATGAGCTATGCAGTTCTTTTTTCACAATGTCCAGGAGGGACGAGTCATAAAGTTACAACAACAAGAGTGTTGTTAGAGTACACGGGGCTGAGCGGGGATGTCGGCATCCGTGCATCTGTGCGTGACTGTCCTTACACACTCCTGTGTGCGCGCGGGTCCCCACCTGCACCGCCCCCCCGCGACGAACCCTCTCCCGCCACCGTCGCCAGGCGGCTACTCGGAGGAGCCGTCATGCATCTTCCCGTTCGTCTACAAGGGGCAGAGTTACAGCGGCTGCACTCAGGACGGCCGCACCGACGGCAAGTGGTGGTGCTCCACCACCGCCAACTACGACAGCGACAAGAAGTGGATCGTCTGCCCCGTCGCGGGTAACGCTCACGCTCCGTCTCACGCGCTCCGTCTCACGCGCTCCGTCTCACGCGCTCCGTCTCACGCGCTCCGTCTCACGCGCTCCGTCTCACGCGCTCCGTCTCACGCGCTCCGTCTCACGCGCTCCGTCTCACGCGCTCCGTCTCACGCGCACCGTCTCACGCGCTCCGTCTCACGCGCACCGTCTCACGCGCACCGTACCGCCCGCGGGCACCGATCGCAGCGGGACAGGATCACGCGGCCAAACGAGTTCCTGTGCCCCTCGTGCGTGGTACACGGTAGTGGGGATGCAGGGGGAACCCGTACGGCGTCATCATCAGTCCCCTGTGGGGGTCATGGGGTCACCTGTGAATGCTTTGGAAATGTACTTACCCCACCTGTTGAGGACTTTTGCGATCTGTGCAACATCTGCTGCCGAGCTCCCTGTCCAAGACGCTCGGTTCACACCCGGCCCCTCCTTGGCCTTCCTCTCTTCCTCATCCCTTTTCACGTTCAAAGTTTATTTTGTTTATCAGGGCGAGAACTCAAGAGGCTAATTGTGAAGAGGGACCTGGGTCACCAAAATGACAAAAGCAATAACATACAAACGATGAAGAAAACTAAATATTCAAAAAACACATGACATAAGAAATTAGATAGTGCACAAACATTAATGAATACAGTACTGGATTAAATAAAATTAGCTGTCGTTTCCGTTAAACTGGACCCTGCAGGGCACTGGCGGAACCAGTGGGGGGGCTGAGGTGGCACGTGCCCCCCCCAATGATCCGATCGAAATCCCTAATTTCGATCGGATCATTGGGGTTTATTAGTAATAAATCGGCATTTTTCGACCGCCACTGTGTAGCATATTATGATGTCCCAGGGACTCTTATGAGATGATAGGACAATAGTCTGAGTCCATAATTGGCAATAAGTAACGGCAAAGCGGTGACTCACAGAATTGTGCGCAGTTGCGTATACAGCACACGACTTCCCTGAAGGCATTCAACTTCAGCGAGCGCGATGCTGATCACACAACGCGGTTCGAATTCGACCCTCGATCGATGGCTGCACCATCGCGTCGAATAAAAAGCAAGAGACAAGTCCTTACTTACTAACAACTATCATTTTGCATTGCTGGAAGGGTTGCCCCCCCTACCTAAAAATCCTGGCTCCGCCCATTGCTGCAGAGTGGTGTTGAAAATCCCCCTCTGTTGTTTGAATGACAGGACCAAACCATCGCAGCTTCCTCCTCTTCACAATAATAATTCCAACTTGCAATGCCAAAGGTATTTGCTAACTCTCAACAAGAGACGACGACTCAGAGGCACGAGAAGCCACTGACGAGCAGGGAGGCAGCCACGGTGGCGAGATGTTAATTAGCTCGCATGGTATACCGGAGGAGGTGGGTTCGACCCCAACCCTGACGCCTGTATATTTTTGGAGTTTGCATGTTTTCTCCGCAGTCGTGTGGATTTTTCTCCAAGTCCTCCAGTTTTTCCCTCCACATTTAGAAACATGCGTGTAGAGTAATTGGCTGCTATAAATTTTCACATGACACTTCATTGAGCGAACAATTGTGGCCAGGTCGCTTCTGAAAAGAGTTATATAGCTCAGTGGGCCTTAACTGGAAAATAAAAATAGTTTAGTTGGTAGCAAGCGCTACCAACAATTAATTTTCCAAGCTCTGTGGTCCACTGTACATTAAGATATTTTTCCAGCCATTATCAAGAGTTTATAGATGTGGAATGGAAGCACCCGGAGAAAACCCACACGTGTGAAGGAACAATCGTCTTATCGTGTACAGCAGGGACAGATTATTATGTAAGTCCACATTTTGCTGAATCGCCTTCTTCTGGCACGCCAGGGCACGGCACCTCAACACCCACAGGAAGGGAATTTCACAATCTTTGCCCCGGGGCCTGCTAACCGAGCTACACGAAAGCAGAGTGCTGAATTACAGCTGTGTGCCATCTCTCTTGCCATCACAGTCGCGTGCTCCGATGTTTTAATTCGAGATACACTGTAACCCTTGCATAGCCTCCTTTGTCCACGCACGCGTGGTGGCGAGTTTAGTCTTCTCGAGGGGGCTCCACCACCCTTCCCCGCTGTCCCACTTGGTGTCTTCCACCTCAAGTTCCCCCTGTTGTAAAAGTGTCGATTGTAACCACTCTGCACATAGGTCACCAGAGCCCTCGCCGTGAAATGAAACGTCTCAGTGTCACAGGTGTCCCGGAGCAATCAGTGGAGACATAAGCAGAATCAATTAACAGCAACACAACCTATATTTCTAAATCAGCTCAAGTCTCCCTTACATCACGCAGCTTCTGCGTGGTCATCCCCACTCTGAATCCCTCCCCTCTCCCCGCCCACTGTGAGAACAGACTCCACTTCGTGCAGCAGCAGCAGCATCGAGGCCTTGATGCTGCCTCCCTCCCCATTCTCATCTCTCCTGACCCTACACTCCCGTTCCTCCGCTCTTTCTCCATTTCCTCCTATTCCCCGTTCTCTCTCTTCCCTCTCCCGTACCATTCTCTTCTCCCCTTGCATTACATCCTTGACTCCACTCCCGTTCCCGTGGCAGCCCCGGCTAACAAGTTGCCAGTACTGTACTGTAAAAATTACCGATGTTAAATGAACGAGGAAACCGTTTAGATTACTGAACTACTAAAAACACGGATGTCTATTTAACTGGATGGTTAAATATTTTTGGTTTACTGCATTGCAGAAGTCTGTTTACAAACGTTTTGTGTTATTTTCTTTTTTTCTTCTCAGTGGCAACAGCTGTGCCAAGTGAGTTCCCGCACTGGTGTTTACCGCTCCATAATTACTCGGGATGAATACGTGCTCTCTGGACAATGTTGTATATTTTCACTGTGAGCTTGTGCCTACTTTGTTGAACTGTCTGTGTCTAAGCGCAATGATTCACACGACAGTGTTTATTGTTCCAGCTGTCGCCCCAACCGCCACCGTTCAGCCCAAGGTCGTCGTCCCGGGTGAGTCAGACTCTGCCATTTGCCCAGCTCGAGATCCTCATCATCACCATCCTCACCATCACCATCCTCATCATCGCCATCCTCATCATCGCCATCCTCATCACCATCCTCACCATCACCATCCTCATCATCACCATCCTCATCATCACCATCCTCATCATCGCCATCCTCATCATCGCCATCCTCATCACCATCCTCACCATCACCATCCTCATCATCACCATCCTCATCATCACCATCCTCATCATCGCCATCCTCATCATCGCCATCCTCATCACCATCCTCACCATCACCATTCTCACCATCACCATCCTCATCATCACCATCCTCATCATCACCATCCTCACCATCGCCATCCTCACCATCACCATCCTCATCATCACCATCCTCATCATCACCATCCTCATCATCACCATCCTCATCATCACCATCCTCATCATCACCATCCTCACCATCACCATCCTCACCATCACCATCCTCATCATCGCCATCCTCACCATCGCCATCCTCATCATCACCATCCTCATCATCACCATCCTCATCACCATCCTCACCATCACCATCCTCATCATCACCATCCTCATCATCACCATCCTCATCATCACCATCCTCACCATCACCATCCTCACCATCACCATCCTCACCATCACCATCCTCACCATCACCATCCTCACCATCACCATCCTCATCATCACCATCCTCACCATCACCATCCTCATCATCACCATCCTCATCATCACCATCCTCATCACCATCCTCATCATCACCATCCTCACCATCACCATCCTCACCATCACCATCCTCATCATCACCATCCTCACCATCACCATCCTCACCATCACCATCCTCATCATCACCATCCTCATCATCACCATCCTCATCATCACCATCCTCATCACCATCCTCATCACCATCCTCATCATCACCATCCTCATCATCGACCATCGACTGGAAGGGACGATGGCCGATGGTCGAAATTAACAACGGAGTGCCAAGCAAATGATAACTGATTATTTACCCAGGATGTAGTTTCTTTAGAATCACAATTCACCCCCGACCGTCTACCGTTCTCGTTAACCAAACTGGCATCCGTTTCAAAATCTGTGTTTGTATTTAAACGAACCACAATTTAATGACAGGAGGGGTCGAAACCCAGATTGCTACAATGTAAGAGACGGCGATAACGAGGTCTTTATCCAGCAGTGGATAGATCATGGCCAGTGCTGACGACGGCGGTGCACCGCTGCCCGGGTTGCCTCCGTATCTGCGTCTGGGAGTGCAGCGGCCGCAGGGAACCGCGAGGTGGACTTGGTGTTCGTGGTGGACGGCTCGGCAGGCGTGTCAGCGGCCAACTTCGCGTTGCTGCGCCAGGCGCTCGCGCGCATCGTGGCCGGCATGGACGTGCGCGCCGAGGCCACGCGTGTCGCCGTGGTGACGGTGGGGGGCGCGCCCAGGCTCGGCGTCGGCCTCAACTCTTTTGGCGACAAGGCGCAGCTCGTGGCGGCCATCGAGCGGCTCGGCCACCCGGGTGGCGCTCGCAACCTGGGTCACGCGCTGCAGTTCCTGGTCAGCGACGTCCTGCGTCCGGACAAGGGCTCACGCATCCAGCAGGGAGTCCCTGCAGGTGCGCACGGCGCGCTGCAACCAACCCGGCGAATCGAGTTCAATTCCCGCTCACGGCCGCCGACACCAGTGACCGATTATCTGAAACGGTGCCGTGCCTCCGCTCGGTAAAATTGGCCTCAAACGAGTACCCAGTGCTCACCACTGTGGGGCGGGCGGTGGCTCCGTCCGTGCGTGCAGATGATTTACGTGATCATGGGAGGAAAGTCTGAGGACGACGTGGCCGTGGCGGCGGGGCAGTTGCGCACGATGGGCGTGCGCGTGTCGGCGTTCGGAGCCGGATACCAGGACTCGGCGGCGCTGGGTTCCATCGCCACGTCTGGCTCGCTGGTGCGCAGCTGGAGCAGCTTCCAGGCTCTGCTGTCCGACAGTGCCAGCCTCACCGGCAATGCCATCTACTTATCGGGTGAGTAGCTTCAGGCGCAGCTTCCGTGTCAAGTCAGATGCCACCCTGCCCACCAGCGTGGGAAAGTATGACCAATACCCCCCCCCCCACAAACCCCACGACCCGCATGACACGGGGAGACCGTCATACCGGGGTAGTCACAAAAAGGCCTCTACGTGTGTATTAGTAACGAGCAGCCGAACATTCCATTTATACCATTGCAGCAGTCAACCTAAAAGAAAAGCAGCACCTGCGAAGCAAATGTGGAATTTCCCTCACTGGTTCTGGGCCACTGAGTGCCACCGCAAAAATTGCTCATTTGATCCAGGAGAGACTTATGCATGTTGTATGTTGAACTTATTTTGCACCGTACGTATCCAACCGTGCTAATCGGTTCAGGAGTTGCATCTAAAGTGGCGCAGCTTAAACGCCTCAACTCAAAGCACCTCACATCCTTGTGCGGCACAAGGTGTTGGCACAGCATCGGCCTGCAAGCGGGCATTATTTTAGAATTAGCGGAGATCAGTCCGTCTCCTTTAACCAATTTATAAAATGAATCCACTGAGAGACTGCGTAGGTCGGTCGCGTGCTCCACTTGCCAAGTTCGGCTCAGAGAGGTTCGACCGCCCAGGCCGAGTTGGAAGGACGCACAGTAGCGAATCTTTGCCGGCGCCTCTTTTGAAAGCGCAGTCCGAGACGAGCTCACGCGTGCCGTCGTCCCTTGCAGAGGAGCCGGCGAGCATCGTGTTCGTGGTGGACGCGTCGGGCGCCGTCAAGGCGGACGAGCTGCAGGCCGTGGGCCGCTTCATCGTGAGCATGGCGCACCGCCTGAGCCTGGGCGCGGGGCACGCGCGCCTCGGCGTGGTGCTCTACGGCGCGACGCCCTCCACCCTTGTGGTGCCCGGGGAGCTCAGCTCGGCGCAGCAGCTGGAGGCGAAGCTCGCCGGTGGCTTGCGCCTCGTGGGTGGCGCCACCAACACGGGCGCCGCCCTCGCATTCGCCCTCAACAGCGTCATGACGGCAGAGTCCCCCAAAACACCCAAGGTGCCGCATGCAGTTACAGAATTTTCTGTGTTTTTTTTTTTTAAACATAGTTGCTGAGAGCAGTGCACAAAGGCCAAACGGATCTCGCGACTAGTAGCACTGAGTTGTATGAGATAAGAGTGAATGCTTTGTCAGGGATTTGTAAAACAATTACATGGGAGGGAATTCTCAAGCGGAGCAGTGCGAGGAAAGAAGCAGAGAGGTGAATTGAAAGCGTGAGAGGGGCTACCTGAGTAGTGGGACACTGACCCAATGCGAGGGGCCAGTCGTTGGCGTGGCTGTGGAAAGAGAGGCGGGGCTCACATGCAGAGGGGCTTCCTGCTCTCCCAGGGTCCTGGTTGAGCCTCCTAGATATTTGGTGTCGTCCTTTTAAGTAAATTGTTACATTGCTCGCTCTCGTAAGTTGAACAGGGGGAGCGACGGAGCGCCGACGAGCTTCACTAAAAATCTGTTAGCGCCGAGTTTCATTCACGGCCGTGGCTAACATCAACGGCAAGTGACATCTCAACTTGGCCCACAACAACCCGCTGTAAACGACGGATCCGCTTGTTGCGCAGAGCATCGTGCTGGTGACGTGGGGCCCGTCGAGCGACGACGTCTCCGCGGTGCCGGCGCTGCTGCAGCAGCACGCCGTGAGCATGCTGGCCATCGGCGTGCGCGGCGCCAACCAGGGTCAGCTAGACGTGGTCGCGTCGCGCGGTGGGAAGGCGTTCCAGATTGCCAGCGGATCCCTGCTGCTGCAGCTGCAGGGACAGATTCTCACCAGGACCCTCTATATCACCAGTGGTACCGATCCGGCACACCCGCTTTCTCCGTATAATTCTGACGCTGCGTTTCGGTCCCGTTTTCCCGAGTATTTTTGCGAATGGTCGAAAATTGGTAGCCGATCGAGAAAAATCGGCTGCGCAAGAGAGGGATAATATCACAAAAACAATCTCCGGGAGATATTATAAAGCTGCTTGCCGTACTCATGCCATTTTGTAATATGTATTCTGATGTCCCGTGCCGCGCACCCGATGACGTGTTTGTGCTGCAGACGTGACGATTAATTACATCAACCGTGGCACGATTGAAATGGAGGAATACGAGGAAGGTGAGATGCCCAGAAGCGCCTCCGTGCACTGGAGGTCCCCACTGCGTGCCCTAAGCAGACTTTGTGTTTGGGAGCACCCCTCCCCCCCCCGCCACTTTCAAGAGAAGTAGAGACGTGAAATCTGGGTGGTGGAGAGTGGAAAGTGAGGGGTTCTGGGTAGAGGATGACAGTGAGGGCGGCAACCCGCCACCAATGAGCCTTCTCTGCACACGTTGTGGCCCTGTGGTATTTTGCTAACGTGTCTAATGAGAATTATAATGTAAAAATATACAAGTAACACTTCTCCTACTTGTCCACAAAGCAACATTCTTTATGCATTGATAAGGTCCGTGAATTTCAACTGAAATGTGTGTGATGTGGGAAGCAAGTGTATTTGTGATTTATTAGTTACAATGCATGTGCCTTTTTTTCTCCAATATTCCATCATCGCCATCGAGGCCTTCGTCTGTTGGACAAAGGCCTCGGCATGCCCTCACCATGCCTCGTGTTCCCACGATGCCAAGATCCATCTCGCTCCAACACGCCATCTGACTTTAAACCTCCATGGCCACGGTGGTCATCCTTTTGGGCACATTTCTGCCTTTGGATTCCATCCCATGACCAGTCTCCATCTATCGGCCGTCATCCCTTCTAGCCATGATGGGTCCTTCCCAATCCAGCTTACTTCACACATTACAGTTTCTCTTGTGTGTTCTCAGCTTCATGTGTTCCTCTTTCGGTATGCACACGCATCTCTTCGTGCTGCTTTGCGCACTCAGTTTTTGTTCCAAGTCTATGTTCGTGCTTGTGATGTCCATATGCCATTGGAGGGAATAATAACTCACTGAAAATCTTTCTCTGGTCATCTAGTAGACTGCTTGTCGTTAATCGAGTTCAGCCTTTCACAAAATAAGTTTGTATCACTTGCCACACTTCTCTTACAGGCGCAGTCATCAACTGTGCAGACGTTGATCTGAATGAACTCAAGAACTCTGGATTCAAGTAAGTGTTGCCGAGTGAATGTTGAACCTGGCCACTGAGAGTTCATGAGGGCCAGAAATTCACGAAGTCGAATGTTCCCTTTAACCGAGGTCCTCCACCTTGCACTCACATTACCTGTCGAAGTCACAATTTTCACTCTCTTCTTGACGTGAGACATTTTCACAATTCGAGGTTGCGCTTAAAGTTACAGTTGGATTGTCTATCTATATGCACAGTTTTATTTCGACTGGCGTCACATAAACTAAAATAAGTAATTCTCAGAGCTGTAATTTATACAATTTATTCAATTAAGCGTGCAACTAAATTTAATGCGACGATTTTACTGCGCAGTCACTGGCGACCACCATCAAGCCCTCTACTGCTTGGAAATCCGGTTTTTTCGCAGGCGTCCAAAACCTGGATTCAAACCCAGCTTCTCAGCGACGCCAGCTGGGCGCTCTTGCCTCTAAAGTTGCACCGTTAACATTCAACATCTCGCCCCCTGCAGCGTGGCCTGCCAGAAGAACACAGAAGTTTGGAAATGAGTCTGAGGGGGTCTATCCGTCGCTGCCGCACGCTCGAGGCTCGGCTCACGAGCAGCCCGGAGAGCCTCACCCCCCCCCCCCTCGTGCCGTGATCTTTCCTCGACGATGAGACAACCCCATGAGCCTCCAGCCTCGCCGGCGGCTGACGTGCAGACGCACGGCACGCGGTGCGAGAGCCGCCACGGCCTCCAAAGGGCCACGGTCTTCAAGCAGCTCAAAGAACCTAATGGTGTGACATTTTTAGGTATAACGTCTTAATAATACAGTGCATGTTTGGGATCCACTCGTATTTTTTTTTATAGCTACTGAATAGAGGGAAGCGTTTCAAACGGACGGGCAATGTATAGCTATGGCACAATGCGAAGGTGCATGCATGAGAACTTTGTGTTCGGAGCAGTATTTCAGTGGCGGTTTCGATGGAGTTTACTCACCTGGTGGTACAATAAATGGTTTGCAGGGGACCGGTATTTGTTAGGGTTTTTTTCTGCCAGATATGAGACTATATAAAACATAGATGTTTGGTTGATTTACTTTGTGGGGCCTCACCGTGCTTCCGAGTCATCGGCTTCTGCAGCTTTGATTATTTCGGGTCGGTTGTTTTATTTGACTGGCCTCAGCCTGTAAGGATCATGATAATTACGCTTGCATCTTCATCATGGAAATGGGAGTATTTGTAAGCACTACACAAGGCAAGGGCATCTTCATCATGGAAATGGGAGTACTTGTAAGCACTACACAAGGCAAGGTTTGTGCAATTACTTCTCCTCAAGAGTGGGAGTAGACAAGCTGCCCCGGCACATCAGAAATAAGAAGTCGTGTGGTTTCCTACGTCTTCCAACACTGGGTGTGCCACACTCGGTGTGCGATGTGTGTGGATGCTGTGACATGTTGTCACGAATGCAATGTGTTATCAGGGTTGCACTTTTGCGGAGGGAGATAAACATTACGAAATGTACTTGGTAATTTCCTCATTGTATCTGAATTTAGGCCGTTTATTTTAATAAAAGTTATATGGGAACTCCACAGGATGGTTAACAATGCCAGTCCTTGCTAGAAACGTATCCTACTCCACGTAAGCCACCTTGCCCTAGCTCTTTCCCCTTCCATTAGCTCGTGCCCTCCTACCCAGCTCACACCTCAATACTTGCCATGGCGGAGGAGGTGGAGGTCTCCCCTTGTACTCCACCACGTCCACCCACACGGTCCCTCCGGCGCTAACCCCGGATGGAATACGGAGACCAAGCTTGATTAACACAAACACACCGCAACTAAAATTTGTCAAGCGACAGGAGGGAATTCTTAGTCCTAAATGGCAAGGGTGCACAAAACTATTTTCCACCACACGGTCGTATGCCACCCACCATGCCAATGCACAGAGTTGCAGTGCCGGTTCCTTGCGGCTACCTCGCTCTGGAGATCTCAAGAGTTACCAGGGCAAGGCGCGGGCACAGCAGGCCCTGCATGTACGATGGCCGTTGCCCCCTCCAGCCACCTCACCACCCAAGTCGGCGAATTGCACGTCTCATTGCTCGCCGCGTGATCCGCCAACCCCCACCTCGCTCAGCCTGGTCGGCACAGCACCACGACCATGGGGGATGGACTGCTGTGCTGTCAGTAACTATAGCTAAGGTCAATTACAATGTGTCACTGGTAATTATAATCACAGGGTAAGTTCAGCTTTTAACCAGTCTTCGTCTTTCGTATAGCTGATGTAGATGCACAGCAACAGCTACAATTTCACATCCAGGTGGTCAAGCCAGACAGTCGCGTCAGGAGTAGCGGAGAGTATCGCTGTGATGTCTCCTCGTATTTGTGGATCAGGCTTTGCGTCGTTGCACGGTCTGCTCTGGATGACCACAGTCACACACTGGAGTTTTAAATTTTCCATTTGTAATAACCCAATAAACATTGCACGTTGAACCACCGTTAGTTAGTCCAACGGTTCCAATCACATGCAACGTTGGCTCAACATTGCTTGTTTACTGGGAATACTCCTCAAAGTCTTTATAATGCCACCTCGTTCTGGCTGGACCGAAGAGGGCCTCCTGCGAGTGTGTGTGGGAGGTACGTGCGTCAGTCGTGGGAGGTACGTTCGTTGTGTTTGTGTCTGGTTGCACAAAAAACGCAACTCTCGTCGTTGCAATAATCTCCACCACCCCTACGCATGCCGGCCACAGTTCCTCAACGCCCACGCCTCCGTGTCGGAACACCATCAAGCTAAGTGTAGATATAAAAACTAGCGCCTGTCCATTGCGCCAGCGTTTAACAGACGTGGAGCGTGGCAGTGTTAACGCGAGTGTGCTGTACTAGGAACGAATTGGCATGTTTTGTTTACGTGAAAAACCTTACTAATTGGCTGTCCGGTTGGTGGCGGGTTTAACGACACATTTATATTTATGCTGATCTTAACCCAATAAAACCTCTTATGTCTAGTAGATGACGACAATCCGTCGAGTCACAGTCAAGTCCTGCAGTCAGTGGACTTCGTAGAGTCATTCTCTTAGTCTCGTCGACCAAAGCGGTCGGTCGCTCGTCGCTATTAAATGTTGACGAGAGGGGGCACGCTCTTTGTTCCTCCCTAATGTTACCACGTCAGCCTAAAAATCACTGAACTCAGTCAATCATTTTATGTACCGTACTTATAAAGGGATTTACCATTTGCGGTCTTCTTCCTCTGCGCTCTCCCAGCGTTGCTAAGTTTGCTTGCTCGGCGTTTCCACTCAGACTCATCGTCAATCTCACCCCGTCACACAGCCGGCCGACTCACAGCCACAATCAGACTATAACAAGAAGAATAACATTAGTTTGGTCACTGAATAATTCGTTGGCAATCTTATCACTGGGAGCGAGAGAGGTAGCAGAGAGATGCCCTGGGGTGGAAGATCACAGTGCGACATGCCGGCCCTTTCTGCCCGGCTGTGTCTGGTGGTGGTGGTGGCCTTGGTGGTTGCCCTGACGGGTGGCCCAAGTGGGGCCACGCAGCTCTCGCTGGAGAAATTCCAGCACCGTACGAAGCTGCACGAGCGCTTCTTGCTGTCGTGGAACGTGCAACAGCTCCTACATCGTGTTCAAGATCGAAGTGCAGACCGCTGGCTACGTAGGGCTTTGGGGTGTCGAGGAAGGGCGGCATGAAGGACACGGACATGGTGGTGTGTGGGGCCGACCATGCCGGGGGCGACTACACCTGCACGGTAAGAGAGGGGAGTGCGGCGGGGGGGGGCAGCCTTGGATAGTTTGTGGTCAGCCCTGTAGCATAATTACTTAAATAATAACTTTATTTAAAGAATTATCTTCTGTTTAGTGTTTAACATTGCTGCTGTTAGAGGGTGTCTGCCTCTAACTGCCCAGTAGTATCCATCACGAGCCTCATTCACAGAGGACGATCTTGACATCGCTGGTACCAGTCATTGGGGAGTCCAATCAGCTTAATATCCTGTACCACAGGAGCCTATTTTCTCTCCAACTTGTGCCATGCCGTTTAGCCCCCTCTATCCAGCCAAAGAGAACCTGCTTGGGCATGCGGGCGAGAAGACCGAGCCAATGCAGCCTCGCCTGCTGGAAGAGCTCACTGATGGGACCGTGTCCAGAATGTTCAAGGGCCTGTGAATGTTTTAAACCAGTGCAGATGTTCCTGCATGTAGATAAAATCGAGATTCGTATGGAGTGACAGGTCAGGTAGCTTCCATACGGCGTTATGCAGCTCATGAAAAGATAATGCCGCTTGACCGATTTAGAGCGAGAACGCCGCTGCCAAACCGGAGCTGGCCATACACATACTGACCAGGTACGGAAACTTATCCATTCTCTCCATAACTGCCCCATCACCCGTGGGGAGTTGAGGATGTGGAGCATTTGATGACGTAAAATACCCAAGTAAGTGCTTTTTTGTGGGCTGATGATGAGGCCTCACTCACCATCACACACTCTCATCTGCCGTCACACACACATTGCCTCCTATTACACGCATCATTGTTTCCCTGTCATCCCCGTGGCGTCAGGACCGTTACTCAGCGAGTGAGACAACCCCCGTGAAGGACGACTCTCAGGATGTCCACATCTACAGCCTCAACCTCGTCAACCAGCGCCGCGTGGTCACGTTCGGACGAAAGCTCAAGACTGGAGACAAGCACGACGTGGACATCACGGTGAGTCTTCATCGATTCTGTTGCATCACACGCACCGCTTTTACTTTTTTATTAATGCTTTTCAACCAGGTTGAAAAGCATCAATGCATTCTATTGTGTAGGCTTTCCTGAGCAATATTATTCACTAGGTTGTTGGGGGGCGCCTGTGTCGCCCCCCAACAACCTAGTTTTCATCATAGAAAGATAAAGTTGTGCGCTTACCAACGTAATGGAACATCTGTCCCTGCGACTTGTTGATCGTGATAGCATATGCGGGGAGAATGGGAAATTGTCGTCATCGCAAAACAAATGGCAAAGTCGTGTCGGTGGGGGCCAAGTCGATTTTGAGAATCAACACCGAATCGCCTCGTTCTCTCTCTCTCGAGCGTTCATCATAGACAGACAGAGAAAGTTGTTTATATATAAATATCATTTTACATCTGGAAGACCTCATTGAAAACGACATTTCGTGTGAATTTTCTCTCGTCGTTAAGTAGATGTCCTTGCTGGGGGTTCGGTTCGATGCGGACTTTCACCTGGTTGGGATTGCGGGATCGAGATAAGGCGACATAGAAATGGTCGTGCGAGAAGACCGCCGTCTGCAGATCAATTCCAATGTGATCGAACGTCTGTCCCTGCGCCTCCGTCGTTCATGTAGGGGGCGCGTATGTTTGCAGCGCCCCCTACATGAAAACGACGGGAAGTGCAGCGTTCATCATATTCATCACCGATAAAGTTGGGCGTTTATCTTATTAATAAAGATTTTTGGGTCAGAGCACGTAAATATAAATGTGTCATTAATGATACACAATATGTGTCGGCACACACTACGTGTCGTTGACACATTTATATTTACGCGATCTAACCAGAAAACCTAAAAGTCAATGCATCGTGTCCGCGTACCATATGTCATGTCTGCCTCATCTGTGCGTCTACGCATTACAAATCTGCGCTTGTCATTTCTAGGCGCGTACCGTGTGTGTGTCTCTGCGCCTGGCGTGCAGCACGACACGATGCGAGCGGTGTTCGCGTTCGGGAGCGACGTGGTGATCGTTCACCATGGCGCCAACCGCGGCACCAAGTCGGTGCTGCTGTTGTCGTACTCTTTGGGACGCGATGAAGTCCTGGAGCCAAGCAAGACCGCCGACCTGCTCACCAGCAACGTGGCTCACCCACCGCAACGCGAGCACTCACCCACTATCGCAGGGAACACTCACTCACCTGCAAGAAGCACTCACTACTACAGGAAGCACTCACTACTGCAAGTTCTACTCACGAGAGACAGCACTCACTCCTACAGAGCATACTGAAGCACTGATTATTATTGGTTCGGTCATATGGCTGGACGGAAGGTGGCCGGCAGGGCTTGGTGATGTCATTGGCATCATCAGCCGTGTCACGCTGGATGGGGTTCCAAGGGTTTTTCCTGCCTACAGAATGTGGGGGTGGCCACCATTTTTAGAGGGCTCGAATAATCCACCACAAAAAATTAGTATTTGCAATTGTGAGTTGAGCAATCGACTTCATAAATGAGTCATCCCATCTCTAGACGAAGCACACACAAAGCAAGGACGGGGGAGGCTACAGGAAGCCTGCCCAGGCAGAGACAACACCGCAATTATGAAAGCAGCAGAAATTCAATCGCAGTTTGAAATCATTTCTGCTTTGTTGTCGTGATATATGAGAGGAAGTACCCATCGCTGAGTGACAGGCCCTCCCTAACCCCCAACAACATCCCCATCTCCCCACCTCCAGGTGCCCCCTCCCACCTTCCGCAGTCCCCCTGAGCGCGACCCCTCCCCTTCCCACCGAGCCCTCCAGACAACCGAGTGGATTCCTGGTCGGGACCTCGAATATACAGAACTCGGGTTACTTGTCCCCCAATT